GAGTAGTGAGTGAGTGAGTGAGTGAGTGAGTGAGTGAGTGAGTGAGTGAGTGAGTGAGTGTGAGTGAGTGAGTGTGTGTGTGTTGTGTGTGTTGTGTGTGTGTGTGTGTTGTGTTGCGCGCGCGTGTGTCGTGTGTGTGCGCGCGCGTGTGTGTGTTCTCTTATGCCTGATGTCTGTATATATATCCTATGTATACGTGTGGTTGGCACGTATTTTCGTTATATGAAGACGATGGTCTGGGCTAGTAGACTGACGTCAGAGCGGCTCTTGTGATGATGTGCAATACCGTAAGTGGTTTCGCCTTTCTTGGTATTTATGTTTTCAAGGTAAAGCATGATGTTTTTGCCAGAGTATAGATCTGATAGAATTTCAGTGCTGCGGTTCTCGAAATAAATTTTCCTTGTACCTAAGTTTGTCTTGCTGATTCATGTGTTTCTTTTCTTATTGTTATATTATATTTTTAACTTGCTGAAGCGTGTGGCATTTCTGTATTTCATTGTAGGATTTTCTTATTTTTATGTAGAGATATGTCGTTTTATCGTGCTATCAATGTTAATTTTTTACTATTTTGACTTGCAAGTTGAAATCTTAAAAACTTTCTATCTTATTAAAATTTTGAAGGAACATTTTCTAGCTATGAAGGAATGGAAGGAATAAAGAAAAAAAATACTCAGCTTTTATTCTATGTTACACATATAGCCACGTATTTCACTTTGTGAAATAAAGTATAGTTACAGGTCTTTTTAATTTGTCACAAGCTCTTATGGCTTTAACTAGAAAGGCTTCTGGAATATGATTGTGCAGTTTAATAATTGAACTTTTATGAGTTTAATATCTAAAGAAGTCAAATAATTTATGAACTGGTCATCAGCACATCCTTTAGAAATATATCTTGCGCTCACAATGCAACTGCACGAGTTACATGTAAGGTAGTTAATTGTACCATAGAAGAGTAGAACTCCTGGAAGCTATTATGTTTGTGTAAGTATTAAGAATATGAAGAAAGACTATGATTTCCAAGGAAAAGAAGGCCGAGAAAATCATGATAAGTCGAGGTGATAGAGATTTCATGACATGTACATGTTTTATTAAGCAGAGAATCCTCTTTAGTCAAGATCATCTTTGGGTTTGAACCTCTCAACTCTTAACTCTGACTAGGATTTGTGCATTTACTTGTCTGTTTTACTGTACTGCAGATGCTTATATATGCAACGTGAACGCAAGATTTACTCATAAAACGGTATCCAGACTGTACTATTCTGTACTTCTGGCTTCCATGTCTAAATATACTTTAGTTTGTCTCCACACTTTCGGAGATCTGGTAATATTTTTCCATCATAAGTTGCAACTGGAACAGGAGATGAAGACTCCTAAACATGGGAATGTTCTGGAGGTAAAGTGATAGTAAGATGAGACAAAGATTTGATGGCATGAGTGGATGAACACGATGGAATTGAGACTCAATATTACCTGTATGAAGACATTAAATGCATGGTTCTCATTCACTTAACTACTGGCATCAACACCCTGCCTTTATCTTTTGCCACTGACATGATTCTTTTACACTAGCAATATTGGATGTATTCTAATTAAAATTCATCAGTTGCACAAAAGGCACAACTTGACTAAGCAGAGTGTCAGAGTGTAATGATAAAGACAGACCTGAGTGTTTCTCATCTTCCACAAGTGTCATATATCATCATCTATATCACAAAGACTCTTCACTGTCACTTTCTTGCACACAATTTCACCGTACAACCCTAAACTGCATGATTTATTTCAAGCACATGTATTAACTGCTATGATTGACACATGTCTGGCAGTGCAAATAAATTTTCAAAGAACTAAACAAAGTCGAATGTGAGCACAAACACCCATCCAAAATTCCAGTCAATTCACTTAACATAAGCCTTCCAATTATACTCTCCAAATAAGAAATCACCTGTAAACAAACTGAAAACCTTAATATAGGAAAACTTTACCATAAATAAGAAAATATAAATAACTACCTATGCTGAAACTACAGCATAACGATTACTAACATACATGAGAACATTTAATGAGAACAATCACATTTTCACGATATTTCCAAAATATCTAACAAAAGTGACTGCATCCAAGACTGACTAAATTATCACCTATAAATGTATTCTTTACACACACTAAAGATGCAGCAACATGAAACTTTGTTCCAATGGCGTCTAGAAAACAAAATGTGTATCCTTCCTTTCTACAACACAAATAATTGGTGCTGTGAGATCTTGGTTCTTTAGTCCGTGCCAAAGTACTTCTGGCCAAAGTGGTTTGGTGCCACGGGATGCACTTCTGATGTTAAGATATTCATCTGCAATGCAATAGAAAGAAGGGTTACCAAATAATTTCATATGGAGAAGGTGTACATATAATATGTTTTATTTCCGTGATTTTCCTGTATGCATCTTGAGCTGTAATAGGAATCACAGGCAACAATATCCTTACCTTCGGGAAAGCACTAGTGATGGTCCTCGCTGCTGCTGGTGTGGAGAAGAGGTTAAGCAAGATGATGTTCTCTTCTTCCACTGCATGCTCTTGAAGAACATTAACTGCCTTAATGACAGTGTTGCCAGAACCTAGAACACAGTTTTTGCTTATAGGAATAACATTTAAAGTGCTTGAGAAAGAGGAGAAACATTCAGTAATGCAAAGACATTTGTGAATGTCCATTTCCTTAGAAGAAACAGAAAAGGAGAAGAAAGGAAAACCCCAAAAACTTACTCATGATCGGGTACATCAAGAAGAACTTTACGCTGACTTATATCTTCTGGGAACTTTGCATATACCACTTTTGCTTCATGAGTATCAAGATCAGATTCCACAAGGATCTTGCCCAGTCTTATGGAACGGCAACATGATCGCAATCCCTGTCATTGAGAGGAAAGCTGTTAGTTCAAGGTAATATCAAGGAACTTCATGAAAGACAGCAATGCAGCACATCAGCAACAGCATCCTACTCATTAATTTTCTGCAGTCAGATTAAACACTGAAATGGCAATGGTAAAGACAACACAATGTATTCTCATGGGAAGATTAAAACAATTTTGAATCTAAATTTACTTACTTGTTCCATAGCCTCTCCCGACCTCACAATGGAGACTCCGCAGTTGCCCTTGACAAACTGCAAGCCCTTGTACTGGCATCCCGTTGGCGTTGTGATTGTGCAGTCAGAGTACGGAAGCTGGTTCAAGCCCTCTTCAACCACCAAACGAATCTAGAGAAAAGGAAAAGGAAAAGGTGAATTGGAATCCAGTGCAGTTATACAAACAGTATATACAGTGATAACACAAGTTTCTAGATACACATATCATATGAAACAATATATATTTACCATGAAAGCATTAGACTTTCAAAATCTACACATAGGTTCTGTCTGTAGTGTGAGAAGGGGAGGTGGTGGATGAACTGGCAAAACAACAAACAAAAAATGGAGATTAAACAGCCACATTCATCAATATTCATCAATATATTACTTACTAATCTGTCTGCATAGAATTTGAAGTCACTTCTTGATGTATTTCTGCAAGAGAAGATATGAAAGCACTGACTTTAGTTCTATTCTCGGATGCTTATATAAACATTTAAATCAATAGTGTACCTAAGAAAAAAAAAAATAAAAGAAATGAATCCAAAACTTCCTTACTTACTTTTGAAAAATAAATCTTATTGGTATGTGATGGAAGGAAAAATAAACACAAATCTCAAACTTATTTACTAACATTGTCAAGTAATTGACTTGTGAAATTGCATCAATAAAGAAAAAATGCTATATAACAATAAATGTAGCTTTCAAACCAAAGCAATGAAGTTTATTTCAAATACATCCAATAACAGAAGAAAAGAGAGAGGAAGAGAAGTGGAAAAAAGAAGAAAAGAAGAAAAAGAAGAAAGAGAGGAAAAAGGAAGAGTGGAAAAAGAAAAAGAAGGAAGGGAGGAAGGATGGAAAAAAAGAAAAAGAAAAAAAGTATTCAGAAAGTGATTCTAAGTAAATAAAACCAAATTTACTATAGCAAAAACAACAAAACCTCTAACAACATTCTATTAATCACAACCATATCAATTAAATCCCTCAAAAACATCTAACAGTATTAGAACTGTTATAAACAATAATCACAGAAAAAATGATGATAATCATGTAATAACAATAACAATAACAAATAAGAAATAATAAGAATATAGAATAATAATAATAATAATAACAATAACAATAATAAGAACAATAAACAACAACAACAACAACAACAACAGAGTACTCTCTGCGACCCCCCCCTTAGGCAATGTGCTTCCGCTTGGTCCACGAATTAACTTGACATCAACAACAGCCAGCCATACATTAAAAACCAGATGTGCAATATAAAAATGGAGAAGGGAAACTAGTCAACATAAATATTGGTAAAAATAACAAAATGGAAAAATAAATATGTACAATAAGATCGAGAGAGAAAAAGTGAGAGAGAGGGAGAGAGAAGGGAGAAAGGAAAGGAAAAGAGAAAGGTAAATAATGCAAGAGAAAGGAGTGAAAAGGATAGAGAAAAGGGATGTAAGGGAAGAGAAAGGGATGAAAGGAAAGAGAAAAGCAAAAGGGAATGAAAGGAAAGAAAATAGAAAGAGGAAAGAAAATGAGAAAAGGAAAAGACCAAAACTAAAAAAGAAAAGAGAGACCCCAAAAACAAGAATCAAAACACGAACAAGAATGAAAAGAGAAAGAAAGAAAGAAAAACGAACAAAAGTAGAGCACACCAGGAAAAGCCGCCCCACGACCCCCACCTGCCCACCACCGGCCGCCCCATCCCCCACCCCCACGCCCCCGGCCCGCCCCCATCCCCCACCCCCCACCCGCCCCACTCCCAGAGGCGCCGCGTCGGGTCCGTGGGCGCGAACGGGCCAAAGTCCTACTCACTTGTCTCGGATGATTGGTCTGTAGCTCCTTCACCTGACCGCTGGAGGGGATCAGTCTGAAGAAGGGTCCAAAGCACTCTGTGGGCTCAGAGGAGCTTCAATGTTTCAACTCATGTTTTTCGAAGCTCTATTTACATGAAAAAAACAAAACAAAACAAAAATCACGTGGAGAAAAATAAACTGTTTTTGGGGAAAAGAAGCGTTTGGAGAGATACCTAAAGACTTGGTTATTTATTTTCGAAGCTCTATTGACATGATAGAGAAAGATATTACGAGAAAAATAAAACTGTTTGGGGGGAAAGAAGAGTTGGAGAGATACCTAAGACTTGGTATTTATTTTCGAAGCTCTTTTGACATGAAAGAGAAAGATATTACGAGGAGAAATAATAAAACTGTTTGGGGGGAAAGAAGGGTTAGAGAGATAACTAAGACTGTATTTATTCTATCTGTGTCGCCTCGTGCAAAGCAAGCATATTGGGGAGTGTTCGTCCGGTTTGCTAAACAGCGGGTCATTGATATGCTAAAAATAGCGCATTAGGGACCTAGCAATGAACCGGTTTAGTCTGCAGGTCTTAATGAACTAAAAACGCGCAAAGGAGCAACGGATTTCTAAAAATAAACACCCGGAGATATACACACAGCATTAATAAGTTCTCCAAATAAACATTTCAAGTACCTGTGAATTCTGCTGGTCCTGGCAGGTAGATTTGTGTTTCTCTCCCTGTGAAGATGCCGACTTCTTTTCAAAAGCAGGGGGCCTTGATGTCACCACCTCGCTCATAGTACCCATAATGGCTGATGTCAACAGAGTGAAGTCGCTGATGTATAAAGTCTGGAGGATAAATGAAACGACATTATGGAGATTGGCGCGTGGGGGTGAGGGAAAACAAAGAGAATAGATTAATACACATCTCAATGCAAGACCAAACGATTCCCCATCTCCCTCTCTCCCCCCCATCCCCTCTCTCTTCTCTCTCCCCTCCCCCTCTCTTTCTCTCTCTCTCCCTCCCCCTCTCTTTCTCTCTCTCCTCCCCACCCTCTCTCTTTCTCTTTCCCCCTCCCTCCCTCTCCCCCCCTCCCACCCCTCTCCTCCCTCCCTCTCTTACAAACGCATAATATTGTGCAGCGACAATCGAAATCGGGTTAGGATCGCTCCGCGTGCTAGATCGAAGCGCCGGCCACGTGATATGAATCAGCCAAAGCACCTGCTGACGCCAGCCATCAGCGTTCGTAGAGGAAGTCGTAGGCAAGACGCGAGTCAGCTGACCGCGAGTCAGCTGACCGCGTGCGAGTAAGGAAGGGCTCAGCGGCCTTTCTGTCAGCCATTTCCTGAAAGTAAATGGCTAGCACTCGCCTTCGCAAAAAATAGAGGATCTAGCGAGGAATACAGAACACACACGCGCGCGCGCACACACACACACACACATACACACACACATACACAAACTCGCACACCACAACTCGCACACACACACTCGCAACACACTCGCCACACACACACTCGCACACACACTCGCACACACACACTCGACACACACACACACACTCACACACAACACTCACACACCCACTCACACACATACCACACACTCACAACACACTCACACTCGCACACACACACTCACACTCG